TCATTCGTGGAAGAGTGTGCCGGGATGAATGTGCTTGTCATGGCACAAGGAGTCAAGATTGTTAACATTCAGGCAGCACATTGCACCAATTGTACACCATGATTTTGAGCCCACAAATGACACTCACTCATTTCGTGGGGCTGCTTGCTTGTGGTAAACAAGCCATACACAGCCTAAAACATTAAGCAGGCATAATAAGCACTAACCAGCCTCTTCATCCCTCAAAACTACAATTTTGTAGGAGACTCCAGCATTCACATACTAGGTTGGTCACAGTAAATTGTATAACATGTCAATTAAAAAGTAGGCTATGTCTGCTTAAACCATACATGTAAAGAGCTGGATACCATTTTCTATTATTATTGACAGAAGGAAATGGTTAAAATATTAGTATCTGCCTCCCATCTCAAGGCCATTTGGACAAGAAAGTTTCTCTTACTTAGCATGTCCTGAGGACTGTTTTCTCTCATTTTGAACACCTGATCTTCATCTCCTTATTAAAGTTAGTTCATAAGAAATATCTGGGTATTCCTACTTAATTAAGCAGCTTCTCCTGCTTTTTTCAAGTGAATGAAAGCATTCCTTAAAAGCTGAGTGTCTAATGCAGAACCTGCAGGTATATTTTGGAGAATTCCACCCTTCCCAGCCCCCCTCCATTCAGAATAGGAGCCCAGCCCCAAGGGGCCTTCAGAGATGTGGGAGTGAACCTAAACGGGGGTACATGATGCTGAAAAGGGGGGGCAGATGGGTGTTGTGCTTGGCTCCTTTATCCAGAGGGATTGTTTCTGTCTCTATCCTTTTTCAACTGCAGGGATTCCTGAGTTCCAGACCTACCTGGGGATGAAGCATCCGGCCAGCTGCGAAGGGAAGAAAGGTGTTGGACTGAAGGGATGTCACTTTGCCATCCCCTCTGACTTCTTCCCTGTTTCCTAAACAAAGAAAACATCAGGACAGAAACTTCAAGAGCAAAAATTAAGGAGGAGGAAACAAAAGAACAAAAACAAAGCACCAAACTATCTCCTCCGTCTGAGCTCTCCATAGCAGCCAGCACAGGGGTGGATTGGCCTGAGCAGGAGAGAAGGTCTTGCCTCTTTCTCGACTGCTTTCTGGAGGACCAGGCTGCCGGGAGTCCTTGGCCGCAATGAGCCTTCCAAGCTCCAGTGTGGACCATCCAGGACTGCTCAGTTGCACCCTGTGCTTTTCCCTTCTGTTGCATAATTCCCGTTGTGACGCCGCAAATTTAGCCACCCTCTCCATCTAATGACTGGGCCAATCCTGTCTGAAGGGTACATTTTTCATTCAGAAGTCACCCCTGGCAAACAAAATGGTCTCATTCCTCATAATGCTCCCAAAATCTGGGGCAATAGAAGCCCACCGCCCCTTTCCTCCCCCGTTTCTTGAAGGTGCAGGCTAGTTGCTGCTTCCAATATCTCCTTTTATTTTCCTGAACAGCCATTAAACGCTTCTTTATTGCATCTGGTAACAAGATGTCGTTAAAGCCCAGGCAGGCCTTGGGAACCCAGAAGACACCCACTCACCCACACACACACACACACACCAAGGGGCTGCATTCCCCTGCTTAGCCATTCAGATTTCACATGGCTTTTGCCGTCTTTGCCCACAACTCAGAGACACACGGTCTTCCTCCAATTCTCCCTCCCCAGAGTTGGCTTCCACTGCTCTCTGAGAGAAGTAAAGTCAAGGACCGGAAACATGATTCTGCGACCCAGTCAGGTTTGCTGGGGCTGCAGATGGAGCAGCTTCATCCATCCCAGGGATAAGAAGGGTTCCAATCAAGGCACGCCAAAAGTCTCCATCCTGAATTGCTTTATATAGGTTAGGAATGTCTGACTGCACCAGACATCTCTGACTGCTTCTTGCTGTTCTTCCCCAGGGTGTGACCTTCTGCTCCTCCCATTCCTCTTCCAGAAATGGCCTACTACTCTGTTAGTTGTTTGATGGATTACCAAGTGCAAAGTGTGCCTTTATTTTCCCCTGAATCCATCTGAGAAACATTGAAAAGTGATCTGTCCCAGGTTCCTTATCTGCCTGGCACTATCAGCTGAAGAATCTTATCGCTGTAATTACCATGTCTAAAGTTGGACTAATTGCCTTTCTAGAGCCATCTCGCCTCCTGTCTGGCTGTTGTAGAGGCACAGCAAAGAGGAAACAGACACGGCACCACCAGAATGTGCGTTGGACAAGCTGCTCCCTCAGAGGAGCAAGTAGGAGTAAACAGCTGTGGCATATACACCCTTGGCAAAAATCACTCCCCTCCTCCCAAAAGCTGGGAATCCTGTAGCTGAGTAAAAGCCCCCAACCATCTATTTGGAGAAGAGCAGTTTCCCATGGCCTTTGCTGGGGATTTGGAGAGGCAAAAGAGCCCTCAAGAGGATTACAGAGAGGACTCCCCATGTCCTTGGGATGCTCCCGACAGCCTTTGCCCAGCAAGACATGGGCATTTATATTCTGGATTCGATCTGCTCCAAGCAAACACAGGGGTACTTCTTAGATTGGGAAGAGGAGAATGCTGGAAAGTGCTTCCACCCCTTGCCACCTTCCCGCCCCATCACTACCTTTGAGGACAAAGAATGCCAGGAGCCACTTCAGTCATGTTGGAAAAACTATCTACTATTCTCATGAGGAATTGCTTATACCAATTGCTGATCTCCATCATCTCTGGAAATCTCTCTGGATCACGCTCCTTTTTTTTCCCATCAAAACATCTGAACATTATCAGGACTCCCTTGGTTTGATTTTGTTAATTGGTTTTGTCAATGGAATTTATTTTTACATATATTTTGTACTTTGACAGCTACTTCAAACCACACATTGGAAGCAAAAAATCCCATTATTAAGCTCCAAGACAAACAACCCAAACCTGAACATCTGTGGCTTGTTCAGTCAACTCAAATATTTCCCCCTTGAATGGCCATAGAATGCCATGACATCACAGCAACTTGGCCAATGGCTGGGAACTCTCCCAGGAGCCAGAAAACAGAGGCACAACACCATCATGTGGACAATTGATGAACATCAACCGTTGTATAGAAGATAAGAACAGGATGCCTTGTTCAGATGATCTGATGGCTGCATTCCTTGAGTCCCCTCTAGTTAGGACAAGCTTTGAGGGCTGCCATGATAAACTCAAGGCCACAATCACAGAAGTGAAGACCAGGAACTGACTCTAGAAACAGCTCAACCAGCCTGAGAGAAGCCAGAAAATGGGATGGAGATCCATCCTCTGACATCCGTGCAGGAAGGACGTGGTTGGGCAGGTATGGAGCTCCTCTGCTGAAGCCCAAAGACACCTTTACCTGGCCATGTTTCTCCCATCCATGATGGACCACAATGTTGTTCCTACCTGAGAAGTGAGATTTCAAAATCGGAGGGCAGTAAGTCTCTTTTGGATGAACAGCAATTAGTTCCCATTTGTCTCTGTGATTCCAGATGATGTTTAGTGCTTGAAAAGGAGGGGGGAGAGTGGCCCCAGAAAAAAAATGATAAAAAGGAAAGAGAGATGTAATTGAACTGCTCTTGGGCTCCTGTGGGATGTGGGAAGAAGCTTCACTTTGCAGCCTGATAAAGAGATGTCGCCTTGATCAGAGGCAGATAAGCAGACAAGCTGATTAGGTAGCGTCCCAGAGGCAAGCCCTAATTTTAGAGTCTGTTTGTTAACTAGCAGCCTTTTTTTCTGATATTTGGTTTGCATACTGTGTAATAATATCAAGCAAGAGGCTTTTAAGGGGGAACAAGCCCAGGTTTGGGCAGACAGGAAGGAGCTGACGTGGCACTCCTGTCCTGTGTGCAAACAGCCCACTAACATGACCAGACAATTGGGTCCTTCGGGTTCCTCTCACTTGCCAGATGTGGAGATGGACCTGAAGGCCTGCAGCAGCAGCAGATGCCAGTAGGACATGGAGCAGGGTTGTGAGCAGAGACTCTTGCATGGGGATGACCTTCCCCGAAGGCAGAACAGTAGACCTTGGTCACTGTTCTCTGGTGGGAAGAGCTTCTGCAGGTTTGAATTCATTTCATCAGTTGACCAGCCTGGACAATGGTTTCTCCTTGCTTTGCAAGTAGCCTCCCAGCTGATAAGTTCTTCCTGTTGATGCCAGACAGGGAGAGAAATATACAAAAGTTGTCTCTTTGATCATCTCATGCCAGCCCAGCCCACCTCGTTTTGAGGAAGCCACAGATAGTTCAGTTGTCCAGTTGATCTCATTTGTCTCTGGGCCATTCCGCCTCTCCTTCCAGCCTCACCCTGTGCAGCCTCATGGCTTCCTATATTCATCCCTTTCCTGTCCTCTCAGGAACTGAATTTTCAACCTCACCTTTACTGCACTCACATCTGTTCTTTTCCCATTTTGCTGATTGTCCTCTTTCTCCCTGCCTTGGGGCTTCAGCCACATCTGGAGGACTGCGTCCAGCCAATGGTCAATCTTCACCTTCTCTGAGGATCCTTAGCCTCTTTGGCATCCCAAAAGCCACAAATCCCCTATCAGGTATATACTCTAAAACAGACCCTGGAAGGAGAAAACAGCCATAAGTAATTGCTTTCAAAAAGGGAAGATTTATCTTAAGAAAAAAAAATGGGAAAGTGACATTTGGGGGGGGGAATGTTAATTATTATTTCTGCCTTTAAAAGATGTTTGAGCTTATAATTGTACACTATGTGTAACCCTTGCAGATCAGTTTGTTTGTTTGACACATTTGGGGAGGGAAATATTGCTACATCTAATAGCAACCAATTGAATTAATCCGGTGGGGAGGAACCAAAGAGCCGGACTTTGAGTGCAATGCCTCTGTAATGTATTGGCCACAACTGTTTTAAATCTCTTACTTAATGTCTGACCTACATTGCTGTATTGTTTAACAGTTGCTGTTACTGAAAGCCAGACTGGCTGTCTCCAAGCTGATAATGAGGTTTGGGGCGGGAAAGTGTTACTTTAAACCTATTGGTTGCCACCTAGAGGCTAACTGTATAAATAGCTGTGCAGCAGCCTTTAGGGCTGCTTCTGTTCTGAGTTAATAAACTTGTTTGCTGTTTCAACACTCTGCCTCATTCAATGCCTAAAGAACTGAAGATATAACAGTGGCGACGAGGGTGGGATGTGCTGCTTCATTGAGAGAGCTTGAAGTCACTAGGGGGTGAGGTCAGCACAGAGCCTGACAAGAACTACATTCCCCCCCCCTCGGTCTGTCAGCAAGCCATGCTGGAGACCACCACACCCTAAGGATCTGTCCTAGGGCCTACACAGAAGCCAGCAGCGCAAGGCATTGCACAAAGAAACAAACCACCATGGCGAAGATCAGGAAGCTCAGAATTCGACGTAACTCACCCGGAGAGATGGGCATCCTACATCTCCTGCGTCGAAAATTACCTCCGGGCCAACCAGGTCGCCAAAGATGGATTGAAGGCGGTGACACTCCTCTGCATGTGCGGCTCCACCCCCTTGGACATTGCAGAGAACCTGGTCGCCCCGGCACCTATGCAGACTTGAAAAAAAAGCTCCGAGACCACTTCGAGCCCAAGTTATCCATTATAGCGTGGAGGCACACTTTTGAACAGCAGGAGCAACAACCCGGCAAGTCTGCAACAGAATTCATTGCCGCTCTTCATCAAGCGTCCCGACTCTGCAATTTCACGGATTTGGAGGAGAGACTATGAGACCGCTTGATCTGCGGACTCCGGAATTGAGAGCTCCAACAAAAACTGTTCGCTAAGGAGACTCTCACTACAGGAGGTCTTGAAGGAGGTCATGGCGGATGAAGCCACCGGAGGGGCTGTTAAAGCACGGTGGCCCTCCAAAAGCACACCAAGCACTGAAGCCGTCCACCACGAGGACACTGAGTGGATGGAAGACACCGATAGACTACAAAGTCGACCAGCTATGAAAGCACCCGGAGAAGGGACTGCAGCCAGCTGAGAAGGCAGTTCCATTCCTTAGGTGCATGGGCTGCAGAGGCCGCCATCAACGCGTGGATTGCCAATTCCGAACTGCAACATGTCGGGCCTATGGCAAACCAGGCCACATCACCACCATCTGCTGAGGTCGTCAGAGGGACCGCCCAAAAGAAGACTCATTCAGGAGAGGTACCAGGCCTCCGGATCAACACTGAGTAGGGTTCTACTCCAGCCGAAGGGGCGTACTCCGCACTGGTGTCCATCGCCCCCTAAAGCAGAAGCTTAGGCTACAAGTCAAGCTTCAGGGAGTTCCATGCAAGATGGAACTGGACATGGGCTCAGCCATGTCCATCATTTCACAAGGAACATTCAGGCACCTATGCCATCATACCAACAGATGGGCCAAGCTCTGGTCATCTAATCTACTACTCACAGACTTCCAAAACTCCCGAGTGGCGGTCAAAGGCAAAGCCACACTTCTGGTGGAATTCAAGGGGTTCAAGGGGCCACTAGATGTTGTAGTGATGGAAGGCCAACGCACGAGCGCACGAGGTTTGATGCATTGGGCATTCAAGTAACCGGCATTCACCAAACGCAAGCGGCAGATCTGTCTGTAGTCTGCCAAGAGTTCACGGATGTTTTCAGTTCTAGTCTAGGGGAGTACAAGAGTCCTCCAATCGCCCTCAAGCTTGATCCTATGGTAACTCCAATACGGATCAAGCCTCGTAGAGTGCCTTTCACTTTAAAACCCAAAATCGATGCAGAGCTGGATAAGCTAGTGGAACAAGGGGTATTGCAGCCCATAGACAGTGGGGTGTGGGAGACTCCCATAGTAATGCCATTAAAGGCCAACAGGGAAGTGTGAATGTGCGCTGACTATAAGTGCACCCTCAACAGGGCACTTCAACAGCACGCATACCCTGTGCCAGTTGTCAGCCATATTTTGGTGTCATTTCAAGGAGCCGTATGTTCGCCAAATTAGATTTGGCACAGGCCTATCAACAACTGCCCGTGGATGAGGCCATGGCGGTAGCTCAGACCATTGTCACCCATAGGGGGGCTTTTAAGGTTAAGCGCCTACAGTTTGGGGTGAGTGTAGCTCCAGGCTGTTCCAGAGAGTGACGGGGCACACACTCAAGGGAATTCCAGGGGTTTGCCCCTACTTTGATGATGTCCTCATTGCTGAGGAATCGGTTGAGATTCTGGCTGAACGGCTTAAGACCGTCCTTCAGCGATTCTGCGATGCGTGACTTAAACTAAAAAAAGAAAAATGCAAGATTGGGGTAGAGTCAACTGACTTCCTTGGTTTCTGCATCGATGGCAAAGGCATTCATCCAGCGGAATCCAAATTAAAAACAATCCAGCAGGACCCAAGGCCGAAGTCAAAGGGAGCGCTTCAGGCTTTCCTAGGCCTTTTGAATTTTTACTATGCCTTCCTCCCAAACAAGGCCACAGTGGCAGAGCCATTACACTGGCTCTTGGATAGACAAGCTCAGTGGCAGTGGACCAGTGTCCACAAAAGTAGCTTCCAAGCAGTCAAATCACTGCTGTCGTCGAACTCAGTTCTCACTCATTTCAATGAGCAGCTGCCTGTCTGCATTGCGTGTGATGCATCCCCGTATGGGGTTGGGGCTGTGTTAAGCCACTTAATGGCTGATGGGAGGCAGAAGCCCATCGCGTATTACTCCAGGACCCTATTGTCCGCAGAGCGCAACTACACGCAAATTGACAAGGAGTCTCTGGCCATTGTGGCTGGAGTTAAAAAGTTCCATGACTACTTGTATGGCCACCAGTTCACGATCTTCACAGACCACAAGCCACCCCTAGGGTTGTTCACCACAAACAAACAGACATCTCAGATTCTGTCTCCTCGAATGCTGAGGTGGTCTATCTTCCTGTCAGCCTACAGCTACAGGATGATTCACAAACCGGGCAAGGAAATGGGCCATGCAGATGGCCTGAGCAGGTTCCCCCTGCCAGATCCAGGTCTGCCTGCATGCAACCTGGCTATCCAGGATTTGCCAGAATCTCCCCTTCACGCTGGGGACATAGATGCCGAGACGGCAGCTGACAAAACGCTGAGTCGTGTGCTAAACTGGGTACACACAGGATGGCTGGACAAATGTCCAGGGCCAGAATTTCAGAGTTTCTTCATGAGAAAAGATGAGCTTTCAGCTCATAAGGGGTGCATCCTTTGGGGAAGTAGGGTCATGGTCCTGAGCTCTTTATGGCCCAGAGTCTCTGCACGAGGGTCATCCGGGAATAGTCTGGATGAAGGCACTTGCGAGGAGCTACCTTTGGTGGCCAGGACTAGATAAAGCCATCAAGGCCCAAATACATGGTTGCTACACGTGCCAGCAATCCAGACCGGAGATGCCACAAGCCCCTGTCCACCGATGGGAGGACACACAAACACCATGGTCAAGAATCCATATCGATTTTGCTGGGCCCTTTCAGGGACAGCTGTTTCTAATAATGGTAAATAACCATTCTAAATGGTTAGGGGTTGCACCAGTCCCTACTATGACTACTGCCAAGACCATCCAGGAACTGCGCAGAATCTTTGTAACATACAGACTTCCAGATGTGTTAGTCTCAGACAATGGGGCTCAGTTTACCGCTTCTGAATTCCAGTCTTTCCTCAGGGCAAATCTAATACGGCACGCCGCGTCGGCTCCCTTTCACCTGGCCTCAAATGGCCAAGTGGAACGCATGGTCCGCAGAACCAAGGAATCACTAAAACGGATTGTCACAGGGGATTGGCACCACACACTGGAAGATTTTCTGATCTGACAATGCACAACTCCCTGTACCGCCACGGGCAGAAGCCCTGCCGAACTCAGATGGGGCCAATGTTTGATCACCAAGCTGGACAGGCTGCACCCCAACCAGGTTGCCTCGAACTCTGCTCAGCCAAAGGCACATCGGAATTTGCAAGTGGGTGACTGGGTTTGGACCTGGAATTATGGGCAAGGGGCTTTGTGGGTGGCAGCCGTGGTTGTTAAGGTGTCAGGACCACTCTCTTATGAGGTGGTCCTGGAAGATGGGCAAGTCATTCGCCGGCACATTGACCAGCTGCGTTGGAGGCTAGCGAACCAGTTGCTGGCTCAGGCCTCTCAAGAGGGCCACATGCAAGGGCTGTGCGACAGTGACCCAACAGAGGAGCTTGCACATGCCAACAGAACTCTTACTCAAGGAGATGCGGAAAATGCCATAGGAGAGTTTTCCACGGACAGACAGACAGTATCTGCTGAACAGGACCGGCAAACTGTGCTGAGGGACAGCCCTGCAGACTTTGCTGCACGATTGGACTTTGGTTTGGGCCGACCAGGACTGGCCAGCCAAAGGGACCCAAGTCAACCTGACTTCACTGGACCTCAGAGTCCTGGTCTACCCAGCCAGGCAAGCGAGTGGGTAGACCGGGAGACCCCTGCAACCCCTAGATGTTCAGAACAGTCAAGAAGGCCACCTAAATATCTGCAGGACTATGTCCAGCAATTGAGAGTTTGAGCCATCTAGAGGGAAGGGGTGTAATGTATTGGCCACAACTATTTTAAATCACTTGCTTAATGTCTGACCTACATTGCTGTATTGTTTAACAGTTGCTGTTACTGAAAGCCAGACTGGCTGTCTCAAGCTGATAATGAAGTTTGGGGTGGGAAAGTGTTACTTTAAATCTATTGGTTGCCGCCTAGAGGCTAACTGTATAAATAGCTGTGCAGCAACCTTTAGGGCTGCTTCTGTTCTGAGTTAATAAACTTGTTTGCTGTTTTAATACTCTGCCTCATTCAATGCCTAAAGAACCGAAGATATAACAGCCTCCTTTGCATCAGCTGCTCAGAAGGAGGGAATGCTCTCCTCTAGGCCACACAGAGCCCTTTGAGCCTTCCCAGAATGCCTTGGGCAGAACTGCTGGCACAATTGGGCCATTGGTCTTAACTGCAAACTTGGAACATAACCAGAAAACCAAAGTTTATGGAAGGGACCAGGGCGCATCACAGCTCCATTCCTGTGGCGCTGCAGAATTTTGTGGCAGTGCCACAAAAAACTTCCAGCTTCTGAAACAGCTGAGCTGAGCTGAGCTGCCTTTCAGGTGCCAGAAGGCTGAAACCCCAACCCTAGTGGGGACATTGTTCATGAAACTCCCCCCACCACCACCACCACACCAATTTCTTTCTAGTGAGGAGGAACACTTGGAGGGCCTTCATCTAGCATCAAGAACCAACGACCACAGCTCTCCCATTTCAGGGCATCAGTCAGAGTGGAGAGGGGAGATCTGTGTGGAGAACTTTGCTGCTAAAAGCACCCCCAAGCCTGGGCACAGGAAGGGTCCTCCACAGAGACCCACTGTGTCCTTTTAAGAGCCAAAAAAGGAGCTATGTTCTTCCAGGAAAACAGATCCTGCCCCACATAAATGGAGATGGGTGGACTTGGTCCTTGATTTATGTGTTACCTCCCCTTCCATTCTAGAGGTATTCCTTCTGGGCCGGGTGGGTAGTGCCAGTTGGCTAACCTGGTAGGTAGAGGCTTTCCTCCCAAGGGAGGAGCTGGGCATTGAAGACTGCTTCTTCCTCAGAAGGGGCTCTTCATGCAGTGCCCCTTCACAGGAGGGGTCCTGGCTGGGGGGGTTCGGGATTGCCAAGCTGGAAGGTCAGCTCTCAGCTGAATCCTTCAGGTACAAACATTTTGATGGAGGCAAAGGAGCAGAGAATTCAACTGGATGGGAAGGAAGAAAATAACGTTACAATATTCTTACTAGAGCAAAAAGTTTTTAAATAAAAAAAAATGAGTTGTCAGCATAAAGCAGAGTGCCAGGTGATTTCCTGGCTCATAACATTCACTTATAGTTTCATTGGCATTAAAGGCCCAAAATACCATTCTACATTTTTGGTACAACCTCCTCATCTTCATCCTCTCACCCCAGGTTTATTCATAGATATCAGTTGCTGCAATCAATAAAAGTTGTCTCTTCAGCCTTAAGAAAAGAACCCAGTAATTGTTTGGCCATCTGCAATGAATCCTAGCCAGAAGCATTTTGTTTCTAATATGTCACAGATGGACACAATCTGGTCTTCAGATTCACTTATTCTAACCAATTTCATGCTGGATATAATTTATATGTTCCCATAACTAGTTTTGCAAAAAAAAAAAAAAGTTTAAATGTGGTATGTATGATGGTTTATGAAATGGCCTTGCACACCACAAATGTTCTGTTCCCCTTTTAATGTATTATATCCAGACTTTGCTAAAAATCCCAACACTAGATTCTAAATCCAGGTATCCTACATCCAAATCCAGCCAGATGCCAACTGACAGGTCTATGCAAAGCAAAGTTAAATACCAACCTTGCAGGCTGAATCCACAACCATCCCTTCACTGTCTTTTAAGATTCTTGTGAAGAAATAGCAGTCAGGTGATGTAATTTCAGCTCAGTACAACCCACACAGACCCTCCACAATGACTTTCAAGGCTTTCACATGGACACCAGCCCTTCCCACTGCTTTCCCTTACATTGAAGAGGGGCAGGGAACCTGGACCTTCTGCATATGAGGCAAGGGCTTGCTTGTTAAGCATTGGGTAGCTTTGACATGCTTCCTGGAGAGTTCTCTGCACAGTTTTCAAAGGTAAGAACGGGAGGATCAGTCAACTAGAAGGGTCTAGAATTGGGTCTCTCCACAATATGAGTTAAAAATAGTCTAAGGTGGGGTGGGTGAGGAAATGTCCAGCTGGACCTTGGGACTTCATAAATATCAGGATTTGGCATCTACTTAAAACCACAGCAACAAGGAGACAATTGATCAACTTGGTCCCTCAAGAATGTAGAAGTAGAACTTCTCAATGCTGTACGTATTCACTAAGGTTGCACTCCAACACAGCTGGACAGGCTTTCTGAGTAAGAAATGGCTTCCTTTTCTCAGTCCCCCCCCCCCCAGGGCTCTTCCCAGCACGTCTCCCACCCCTCCTGCTCTCAAGATTGACTTCAAAGTGCCTAAAGGTTCCAGAAGTCCAGTTCTTGCCTTCCCCAGACTCTCTTTCCATATCCCAAGTGAACTTCCAGGAATTGAACTTCTCTCTACTCCTGCACAAACATGAGATTTCATGTGGGCCCTCAGAGGGTGGGCTCTGCAATGAACGCAGACAACTTTCACATCCTTACGTGTCTTTCCAGTCTTTCCAGTTCAAGGACAGCATATTTTTCAAGTCGGTGGGGCAGTCGGAGAAGAATTGTGTGTGTGTGTGTGTGTGTGTGTGTGTGTGTGTGTGTGTGTGTGTGCATCTGCATCTGCATCTGCATCAGAAATATATTTTTGATCTCCGAAAGAGCTGGATTGTCAGGCAGCCTGATTGATAAAACATCATTCCTCTGCCAATTAAAGTGAGAGAGTCAGGTTTGCAGGAAGAAAGAAGGCATTGATTTTGATGTGGGGTTTCCATTACTTTGCTGAAATAAGGCTGTGTGCTCTGGCTTTAAATATTTATAACTTCAGGGAAGGGGGCAAAGACCAGAGTGGGGAAACCAGGTGAGAGGAGGCTGTCAGAAAGTGCCCACAAGTGTGTTTTGCTCCTAGGATAACGAGGTCCTCGTGAAAATGTGAAATTAGACTTTCAACCTCACAAACTCGACTCCTTTTTCATCTTGGTTGAGTACCTCCCTGTCTTCCAAACTCAGCTCATGCCTTATCTTAACCTTAGCCGGGGACTAAGCTATAAAGCATATTTCAAAATGGCAGCATAATATCTTTTTCTAAAATCATCCCCCTCCACTCTGAGGCCAAGATGAAAACAGGAGCATAATCGCCAGCATACATCAAAACAAAACAAACCCAAAGCCCTTCATCAAAGCCTAATCCTAAAAGCTTCCAGAATTTTCCTTCCTTTCATCTAGGTTCCTGCCATTTAGTTATTCCGGGACACAGGGACATCACTGGGCAATGCGAGAAAGGAGGAAAGATTCAATTAATGAGCACATTGGTGGGTTTATGGACATTTCTTCTGCTCCACCCTTCTTCCTCTCTGCTCTTTTTTTCCTCCCCAGAGTTAATCTGGAAGGCAGAGTCCTTAGCATTAGCTGCTTGGCACCCCAGAGCATCCACTTCCCTTCCTAAATCTTTCCATTCCATTTGAATGAATATGTTTAGCAATGGCGCAGGATGCTCCACCAGGTAGCAAAAGCGCCCAGCAAGGAGCAAATGTTCATGAGAAAGACGGGCCTTCACTTTAGGTTTTCATTGCTCAATGGAGGTGGCTTCACCGTTATCCAGGAAGAACACCTAATTCCTTCAAGCCTCAGTCAACCTGCGCATGTGGACAACCAAAGCCATGACATAAGGACATATTGCATCGAGCCGCACAACCTGTGTCAAGAAATGCAATTCTTGGAACATCTTGGGCAATCTGGCAAGAAGGACTTGTAGTCCTTAAAGGCTAACACATATAGTAAGGCATTCAGTTGGCATGGGGAGAAACGCACTTCTTCATCTGGACTGACTGGAGAAAGATCTCCAGGAGAGGGGGCCCTTGGAAGAAGTCCAGAGATTGCTTAGGTGGTTGTTTAGTCACACTGAGAGAGAAAAGGAGAGGATAGCCTCTACTACACATGCCATTTTCTCACCTCTGCTTCTCTGAACCTGGCTTCTATTATTGTTAGCAGAGGAGATGTGATTTTTTTTGTGTGTGTCACCCTCCCTCCCCTTTACTCTCCACTCATGACTTTATATGGCAGTGCAGGGTTTTCTCAAAGACTGCACAGCTGTTCAATTTAACTCAGCATAACTCCCTTGGGATAATTCAGAATTTACCTGTTCAAGGTTTCTCTTTTTTCTTCAAAAGGTGAGCTAGCCTCCTGTGAGCATTTCCACTGCTCTTTTTAAATAAATTATCACATCCTGAACTTCCCTTTCCCTTCTCCTTTTACATAGAGGGGGCGGTCAAGGCTGGGACTTTGTTCTGAAAGTATGGTAGAAGTAGAGAAGGCTGCTGAAATTGTGAATTTTATGAAGAGATGGTGGTCTTCCCACCTGGACTGCCTAAAATGTCCAAGAGAGTCCAAATTGGAAGACCACCTTGATGTTCATGAGAGTTCCAAGGTTTTCTCCTACCGTTGCTGATGTCATTCTTTTCCAAGCTCTTATTAAAGATTCACCTGCCCAAAGAAATTTTGAAGAAGCACACTTGGACCCCAATTGTAGGTAAGTATGGAAACTAACATGGTTAATGGAGTTTTGAGGCAATGGGATGATTCCCAAGGCCATTTTTAGTGCACATTGTTCCATCCAAAATAGACCACCTAAATTTATCCTCCATTTTTTCTGCCATTAAACACTTCAAACTCTGCTGTTTTAATTGTTTTAACCGGTTGTTTACTATATCCCACCCAGAGTCACATTTGGAAGATGGGCATCTATATTAATCTGATCCATAAATAAATGTCTGCCACAAGAGAATTGTGAACAGTTCTTCTGTACTCAAGCAGTTGTCATCCTGCCCAATGCAGAAAGCCAATCGGTTGTCCAACCTTCTCAAGGCTGGCCATAACAATTCAGTTTTTCTCTGCTTTTGGCTTCGCATGCTAGGCGAAACCAGCCATTAGGATTTGTAAATAAGAATGTGCTAATCATCATTATTAATGTATTACCTTAAGCCTGATTCCTGAAACCTGAATTAAGCAAACAATAGTCAGGCGTGATGTGCAGCTCTGGTCAATGAGAGATGCAAGGCTAGAGAGGTCAGTTATGCAGAGGGGGTAGCAGGCAGCCTCCTCCTTTGGCGGGAGTCCTCCCTTGCTCTGTTGCCCCCAGGGGAGGGCAGCTGAGGCTGCAATCTGCCCAGGCCCAGGGTGGAAATCCCTCTCTCTTGAACAGCTCTTCTTTGGCGTCATCACCTTCCATCTCCCCTGCAGAGGCCTGCTGGCCCTTTCAATGGAGGGGGGGCAGTGTGTGGTGGTGGGGAGCCGGACCCTCCGATCAATGAAGCTTCAGATGAAGAGGGAGCTGAGCTGAGCTCCACAGGTGATTTATGATTTCACAGGCCAGCTGAAATGCTGTGATCGAGTTTCTTATTGTAATGGTCTCTTGCTGAGCAGTATCCAATTAGATGACCCCCCTGGGTCTTTCCCATCGATTTCATTCAGGGTGGGGAGATTTGGCCCTTTGTCTTCTCATTACTCTTCTGATGAGAGGGGGCACCAGGTTCCCTTCACTGGGATGAAAGGCGTTGAACGAAGAAATCGGTGGCCCAAAGGTCTGGGGGGCATGGCCTCAATAGCCAGAATGGGATGTCTGGCAAAGTTGGGGCAACCAGGACATCTCAACAGGCGAAGCCAAGCCTCCAATGCCATCTCCTGGAAGTTCTGAAGCACCTGCTAGAGAGGGAAGAGAAACTGGTGGCTGAAGACATGGAGAAAAATCCCACCCAAAGAGTTATTTGGATTCATAAAGCCCCCAGAGAAGTTAATGCTGGAGTTAATTATAGGATTGTCCCTTTGCAAGGAGGGCCGTCACTACAGGTGAACCTAAGAGAAATCAGGAGGTGCAGGGGGGAAGGATTGAGAAGACACCCTTAGAAAATCAGGTACTGTCTTGGTGGTGCAGAAGACCTAAACTTCTGCAGAACTTTGGGCAACTAATTTGCTCTTCCTGGTCAATGTGTATCTGAGAGTCAAAGAGGTCCTGCATGGTGCCCCTTTCTGGCTATTCCTGCTCAAATAAGTGTTCCTTCCTTCCCACCTTTCCAAATACACTGCAGCTACCAAACCGGGAGAATCTTTTGGGACCAAGAATGAAAAAGATGCTCTCTGGTCTGGCACCTTGCACTAAGCTCTGGGTTTATAAGTGCTTTTCTTTGATGGCTTGTCACTTTTAACACAACAGAAGAGGCTGGAGTCACATTACAAACTAAGCCAGAAGAACCACATGATTCATAAACCGTAAGGGCCAGGCTCGCACAACCAGCGAGAACCAAACAAGCCACAAGATGGCTTAGCAGGATACTGTATGTGAACTTTGTCAATCAACTAAAAGAAGAAAGGAATCAGAAGCTGCTTCCCTCCTTGGGGAGATGGTTGTGGGGGGGCTGAATATCTTTGGCAGGAAAATAATGTCAGGGCCTTGTTCAAGGCCTCTGTGGTCCCCTGTCAGGGATTTGCAAAACCAGCCCCTGGCAACCAGGCCCTGCCTCTTTCCACAAACCTTGTTAGTTGCCACCCCAGCCCCTCTGCAGGAATGGAGAGGCAATTCTCACTTCTCAGGGAGTCCCAGTCTTGATTCTGGACTATCCAGATGCACTTTCTGTACTTCCCAACATATGCCGGCGGGGGGGGGGGGAGGAATATCAAGGAAGTCTTCCGAAGGCATCATAGGTCGATTAAATAGCCCTCAGTGCCCACCACTGTTCATTAGAGAAACAACCACATGTTATTGCAGGGAAGCTTTTCTATCAGGCTCATCTCAGAAAAACAGCAACGAAAACGGTTTCTCAGGGAGGAGATTTAGAAAGGAGGAGTTGAGAAACAATCCCCTTTCTGGAGAACAGGGGTCTCCAACCAGGCTGGCAAGGCTGCCTCTTTGTGTGGGAGAGAGCGGGAGGCAAGTGCCAAACAACCGCTGATCAGGCCTCCTCGGACAATTTGGATCAAAGCTGTCACTTTTCAGAAGTTTGCTGGGATGCATTTCCTTCCCCTGAAGAGAAGTGGTTCTGAAATAAAGGGAGCTGGGAGGGGTCCTGACAGGCTGCAATGCACTGGCCAAGTCTCCTCCCGCTTTAGAGGTAGGCCTAGCCGTCAGTCGCATACTGCCCCACATCAAAGTCCATGCAGAGGAAAGGGGCTCCCCTCAGTCGCCCAGGATCAGGGCACTGTCTGGCAGCAGTGTAAGGAGGGGGGGCTGGGGGAGGTGCTGCAAACGGGCTTCCCACAGATCCTCAGGATTCCTTTGCTTCCTCTCCTCTCCCCACAGTCCCAGCTGATCCACTTTGATGTGCGGAGGGGAGGAGAGGGTTTCCAGGGCAGGGAGCTTTGCAGCCCCCCCCCCCATTCGAAACAATCCCAAAGGGTTGCTTCCTTCCACTCCCTCCCCAGCTCGTTCCTGGTGCAGAAAGCCCCTTGGAGACAGAATTCCAGCTGGCAAGAAAGGGAGACCCCTGAATCCTGCCCTCCAGCGGTAGCTATCCATAACTCCCCTCATCTCAAAGATTTATTCTTTGCCTAATTACAGCCAATTAACACTTAACCCCAAATAAGCCTGCATCTATCTTTGTTGTTCGGTAGAGTCATCACCAAGTAGTTTGAGCAGATGCTAATTGAAAATGATCGGATAAAAAGTTCCTTCAGCCGTTCAGAAATTCCTGCAAAAAAGCTACTGGGCAGAAGCTATGCCAGGGCAGGCCCAGAGCTTTCTCCTCAGGCTCTGCCTCAGTCTCCCCTCCTGCAAGGAGATGGATCCCAGACGTCCTTCATAGCGGCCTCTTCCGGGAGAGCAGAGGCCATCCAAGCAGACAAAGGCTGCCCATGGAGAAGTCACCTTGGAAGAGAAGGGGCTCCCCGATTCCTTGCAGTGCCCCTCAAGCCAGTGAAGCCCCTGGTGAGCCATCCCTGCTTTGAGAAAAGGCAGCCATCTGAAAGCGAGTGAGGCAGACTATTCCCTGCTTCTGTCACTGGGAAATGTAAGCTCCCCACTTTTCCAGAAAAGCCGAGTGGCCAGGCAGCCAAATACCCACCGGACACTCTTGGCTTTGAGATCAGTTCAGGCTCTGCTTGTTCCTGCCCACCCAAGACTTGCACCTTACAGCTTTTCTCAAGGCGGACAGACGTCATTTACAACAGGAGCTTCCCCAAGAACCTCATTCCGCAGTTGAAGACAAGCCTTGAAGAAAGGTCTCATCCTGCATCTCCCTCGCCTTGGAGGAAAACTCTCCCAAATGCCCACAGATAGAACGATTCCAGCAACTGCTTTATTTATTTATTTATTTGTTTATTTTTGTTTATTTATTTTATTTTTCTAGGGAGCGAGTTATGGTGAGTGATGGGCTTCTTGTTACCAAGCAAGCCAGACACAAGAGCTCCACAAACCTTACACAGAATATTGATCCAAGGGAAACATCTACTAGCCAAGGCCCCCAAATAGGGTGAGGGTTGCTTGAGAATTGATAAGGACACCCGATAACAAGAAGGGAGACCCAGGTGTTATTCAAAGGGTGAATGAACTACAGACACATTTCTTTTGAAATGTAACATAGCAGCTTTGATATGTGAGACGAGCCAAGCCTCTAATTGTTATTCTAAGAAGCTAACTCTGTATTTTACTGCAGAAAGGGGAAAGAAACACCACATATCCTTGAATCTGCTCCTTTGCTAAAGGCATAAATTCTACAAACATTTTAATCACTGACAGCGTATTGGCACAACTAGTAGAATTCTGCCCTTAAATGAGCATCTATAGAAAAACATAACATGAATAAAAGCATGTAGAAAGGAAGGCATGAGCAAATCTTGCTAAATTCTTATTTCACTTCTCCCTGCTATCCCAGGAGACAACTCGCCTGAGCTGGGCAAGCTGATTCTCCTGGCCCTTTCGTGGCTCTCCTCAGCACCCTTTCCTTGAGATGCATCAGAAACAGATGGACGGGCAAGCCAACATCATCCCAGGCTTCCATTTTGTCAGAGAAAGCTTCCATGCTGCCTTCCATTTATTCAAGGAACATCTGTCTTGCAGCTGATGGAGATGCTAAGGTTTCTCCACAGCTGGTTCCAGCGATCAGCTGGTTCCTGCAACTCCTAACCATCCATCACACCTTCCATCTATTGTTTGGAGCTCTCCTTTCTGGGACAGAACAGAGTTTCATGCCGCTGGGAGCTGATAATGGCCATTTTGTAAGGGCAGGACAGCAAATGATAGATGTAGCCAGCAAGGGACGCCAGGGGCCACACACAATTCCCTGGTTAACTAACATTAACTAACAAGTCCCTAAACCCTGCACCTTTTTCCATGCTTTTTATTAATTGCTTGGCTGCTTGGTTTCTTCCTTGATGTGAGCATAACATGAACTGCCCTCCCAAGGAGGAGCCTTTGATGTGCAGAGGGCGCATCAAAGGGTGTGAACAGGATCACACAGGGCTGAATTGGGAAAGGCAGCCCCAACTTTTCCATCTGAACATTAGCTTTGAGGCCATTCCTCCTGCCATGTAGCTGAGCCATCTTTCCTTCGGTGAGGAAAAGAGACCACCCACCCTGGGGTGTCAGGGGCTATCTGCCTCAAGGAAACAAAACTGGGGGCTGAGTCTGAGTCATTCCTTGGACTCTTCCTTTAACAAGGAAATTGTTCTTCTACGCAGCAGCAGTTCCCCCACTCCTGTTTTGGTGTGCAATGACCTAATTATGGCAATAGGTTAATCCTTTCACTTTCTCCTGCTGACAGTGAGAGACATCAGCTAGGGAGAGGCTGAGAAGCAGCTGATACAATTTATTATTTATTTTTAACCATTCTCGAGAATTTTTTTCTGCAGCAGATCTTGATTACCTGCATTCATGTGTAAGAAAGGAGAAAGGGAAGAGAAAGCAAATGTTTGCACACACCCTGGCAGATTTATTCATCTTTTTCTCGGCAAATAATATTCTGAATAAATATGGCCGTGACAGAGGAAAAGGGAAGAGGTGACTGGAGGGAAACAAAAGGGTGACCAGCAGCCGGTGCTTGGTGGAACCGAAAGGGTCACCCCTGGCCCATTCATTGGATGCAGCCAAAGAACGCCATGTCCTTAGGTGGAGATGTTGTTTCTAAAGCCAGCTCCAAAATTCATTGGCTGAGCTCTAACAAATGTAAGACATCAGAAGTGATTGAGTCAGGCAGCATCTAAGTGGAATAAAATAAATAAATCTCTAAAGTGCCAAATTCACACGTTCACATCATCTTTTGCGCCTGTGATGTTAGTGAATTTGAAGCTAGCCTAATGTCAATGATGAAGACACAGAAGGGACTTCTTGCTCAGATCTTTGGTAGAGAAATCCTTGATGATCCTTACATGAGCCCAATGGAGGGAGGGGGGGCTGACACTGGTCCAGCAGAAGCTCCTTCCCCCTCTGAAAGGCAGGGATGACACATTATATCAGAAGCTGAGGTTGTGTGAAGAGGAAGAGGCACATCCACTCAGGAACTTGGCCTGTTGAACTCCAAGATGCTCTGCAGAGCTCTGCCAGAGGCTGGTGAGCTAACAACATCTTTAAGTGCACTGAGGAGAGTGACAGGAACAAAGGGAATTGCAGGTGTTTCTGAAGGTGACACAGGCACTTCAGAAACCTCCTTCCACTTTTCTCAGTTCAATTGTATCCTTGCAGTTTTGTCCCTTTGTCCAGGTGGAGGTCACTCTGC